GTGGCAGTCTCAGCCCAGCTCCCAGCAGTGCCCCAGTGCCATCCCAGCTCTGCCAGCCTCTCCCTCCCCTCTCAGCCTTCAGGTGTCCCCACACTCCCCAAATTTCTCTCTTTTCACCCCAGATTGAGAAGCCTCTCTGGGGAGCAGAGTGGGCATGGGAATGCTCCAGGCAGGGAGAAATGCAGTATTTTGTAACGGTTCTTTCCTTGCTTGATCCTGCTCATGCTCAGGGTTTGTTGCTTTTCCTCCTGGTCCTTCTTGCTCTGATTTTTTCTGTCTGTGGCAAACAGAAGCCTTTGGTTTGCCCAAAGTTCCTCTGCCTGTGCTGCTCCACTGGGGTGAGAGTTTTCCAGAAATTCCTGGTGGTCCTGGAAACCCCTGGGCCCTGTCTCTCATCCAGGTGAGAAAAAAAAAAAGGAAAAATATTTGGATGTTTTTACTTTTCCCTTTGAAATTTGGCCCTGAGGGTGCTGCAAACCTTGTTTTTTCTGTGCCTTTATTCCCCATTTTTTTTGTGGGAATTGGGGAGGAATATTCCCCATTTTTTTTGTGGGAATTGGTTTTTTCCAGCCTTTCATGGGCAGTGCTTTGCTGGTCCAAGGTGGCCTGGCTCTTGGTGAGGTTGTTTTTCCTGTTTTCTGTGGTTTTAGCCTCCAATCCCTTCCTTGGGCTGCATGGATGGGCACCTCCTGCTCCCAACTCTCATCCCAGCTTTTTCCAGCCCATCAGCTGCTCCTGCTGCAAAACACCCTGGGATGAGGAGGGGAAAATAGCAATGCTAAAAATAAAATAAAATAAAATAAAATAAAATAAAATAAAATAAAATAAAATAAAATAAAATAAAATAAAATAAAATAAAATAAAATTTTAAAAAATTTAAAAGAAAATAAATAAAATTTTAAAAATAGAATAAAAATGAAATAAAATGAAACTAAATGAAATGAAATAAAATAAAATGTAAACAATANATTTGGTTCGAATTGTAGTTAACACCTCCCTCCATGCCAGAGTTAGCTACCCCAAAAGTATGACCATCCTTTGCTTTATATTATAGATAAATATATCTATATATCTATATATCTATACATTAATATATCTAATAAAAATGTATAAATAATTAGGTATATTTTATATATAAATGATAAAATATACATTAATATATAATATATTTTAAGATTATGTATATTAGAATATATAATAAATATATATATTTGGTTCTAATTGCAATTAACACCTCCCTCCATGCCAGACTTACCTACCCCAAAAGTATGACCACTCCTTGCTTTATATTATAGATATATAGAAAATATATCTATATATCTATATGTCTATATATATCTCTACATATAAAATAAACAATATATATTATTAAAATATATAAATAATTGGATATATTTTATATATAAATAATAAAATATACATTAATATATAATATATTTTAAGGTTATATATATTAGAATATATAATAAATACATATATTTGGTTCTAATTGTAATTAACACCTCCCTCCATGCCAGAGTTACTTACCCCAAAATACGACCACCCCTTGCTTTATATTATATATATACATTTTAAAAATATATCTGTATATATCTATACTTGTATAAAAATATAATATATATAAATTTATATTTTCTATATATAAAATATAGAATATAGAATATAGAATATAGAATATAGAATACACATTAATGTACACTATATAATATTTTAATATATTATGTATTAGAATATATAATAAATATTAATGCATTTTATTTCTATAAATTTTATTTTATATATTTTATATTTTTGTATATTTCATATATATTTTATGTTCATTATATTTTTATTGTTATTACATTCTATTTGTATATATATAATTTATTGTAGAAATAATTATTATTATAATTGTAATAATAAGAAGAATAAGAATAAGAATAAGAATAAGAATAAGAATAGCTAGATCATACTCTGAGTGTGCTGAGGCAGATTTGGGGGATCAGATCCTGTTCACAAATCTCTTTGGATGCATTTTTGCAGTCAGCAGCAATCCTTGAACACCCTCACAGTTTTTAATTAACGTGTGCATTAATTATTTCCTCACCTGACAGTGTGGGCCCCTCAAGGGCAGGATGGTGAGTGCTTTAGGATAAAGTGAGGGTGAAATAATTCCCCTTTTTCCATGAGAGTTGGGGTTGTGAGCAGAGAAGAGAAGGAGTGAGGATGAGGAGCGTTGGGATGGAGTAAAGCAGAGTGATGAGAGCCCAGTCCTGGCAAACTTGGTGCAAAAATTTCCTGTTTTAATTAGGAATATCCCAATTCCTATTGATGAAACCTCTCCCTGCTCTGAGGGCAGGAAATCCAGGCAAATCCTGCTCTGGGCTGGAGACTTT